AAGTAGCAGGTACTACTTCTACGTCAATAGGAATAGTTCTACCTTGAATTTTAACAGGTAGGTTTCTAATAATACCAAGAGGTCGAGAGGTAGTTCCTGTAGTAGCTACGATTAAACTTCTAGAGGGTTTATCTATTTTCAATCCCAGTTCTTTTACAACTTAGTAAGCAATCATACTAACAGAGACTTCACTGTCAATAATAGCAGGGTACATATGATTCTTTAGATCTATAAAGATTTGACAGGGGTAATATTATTGTTGTCTTCCATGGTTGGTTTAGTGTTTTTTTAGTTCATTTTAGTAATATAAGTAGTAAGGGCTATACGAATAGAGTAGTTGTCTAGAAATATTTCCTAATTATTGTTGTTAGATAGTGTAGGGTTAGGGTTAGGTTTTGATATTTCTGCCATGTTTATATTCTGGTAGTAGGGTAAGGATGAGCAGTGAGATCTGGGTCTCTATCTGTCTTGACTTCTATCTTTAGATCTGCTTCTATCTTAAGAATAGTTTCTATCTCTGCTTCTGTTTCTATATCTTTCATGTGATTGACTTCTATCTCTGGCTCTTTTATAATCATTAGATCTATTATTATAATTGCTTCTTTGATTATAGTTGTTATTTCTATTTCTTTCATTGTTTTTATTTTCTTCTAATTTTCTTTGATAACAGTTGGCTATATAATGTCCCTTTTTACTACAGTAGTGACAAGCAAATTTGTTTCTAGAGAGGCTTTGTTTTGTTTCTGCAACATAAGCTAGTTTTTGTTGCTATTGCTGGGCAAGATTAATACTTAATTGAGCAATTTGGTCTGTAAGTCGAGCAATTGCTTCTGTAGTGTTTGTTTCTGAAGCAGTAATATATTTTCCTGTTTTCCAATTTCTGGCAGTATTCATAATAGCACCAATGTCATCTAGGCTAGCTACTTGTACAGGTATAGCATACTCGGATCATAACTCTTAGATAAAATGTTGGTGGATAAATGCTAGAAGTAAATCTGTGACTTTTTGATTAAGATTTTTGAACTTTGCAATATATGCATCAACAAATCACTTTCTTGTTTAAGGTTAAAGAACTGTTGTTACCATATAGCTTTTTGTCGAGTGGTACAAAACTTGTTTGTAAATAAAGTTTTGAAACTAGTAGCTTGGTTTGCTGGATCATTATATATTATAAGCTAAAGAGCAATAAATCTACAGACCCATTCAGCAGCAATTCCCTTCATATGTGCTTTAACTATTTTGAGTTGTCAAGCTCCTTCCCAATAATTAGCTTGTCTAGTATGTTCAAATTCATCTAACCAATCTAGTGGGTCTTGGGTACTATTTTCTATAAAGAGGTCTATTTTGACAAGGCTCTTTTTACCAGTTCCTTTTCTTTGTAAAGCTTTAACCAACCTGGTCATTGCTTAAACAGCAGCATCTATTTCTTCAGCATTTATTTGTTCTTCATTATCAGGAGGTGCTTCAATGTTTTCTGATATTTCTATACCTTCTGGTGCTTCGTTATTAGCAATAAGATTATTATCAACAAGTGCTTCATAATCAGCAATAGGATTATTATCAACAGATGCTTCATCAAGTTCGTGGTTATCAACTTCTGGTTCGTCACAAACAGTATTAGAATTAGAGTTTTCTCCTTCTTCTTGGGGTAGAAGAGGTAATTAAAAAAAATTATCAAGACTATCTAGTAATTGTTCACTTTCTTGGTTT